GGAGTCAACAACCTGTGAAGGGAGAAACAGGTTAATGTCTCATACCCAGGCTCATGGTTGAAAATTATTTTTTTCAATTTTTTTTCTTGGTCTAAAACAAACATAATGAGTTGCCATTGTAAGGATTTTTCAACATACAATATTGTGGAATTAATGACATTTCAATGCTGTGCAGCTACTACCTCTAGTTCAAAAACCTGTTTGTCATCCTAAACATACACCTGGTACCCATTGAGCAGTCACAATGAAACAAGAAAAAATATCCAGGATATAAAGGAGGAAATTTACAAGGAGATTAATAACTTAAATAACTTAAAAAATAATGTAACAGAACCCCTGGAAATGAAGGATTCTCTCAATGAAATAAAAAACAGAACAGAAAGCTTGAGCAGCAGGCTAGAGCAAGCAGAAGAAAGAATCTCAGAATTCAAAATGTTCTTTTGAAGAAACCCAGGCAGACAGGAAAAGGAAAAAAGAAATTTAATAAATGAAGAAAATTTAAGAGAGCTAGCAGACAACCCCACGTGCACAAACATCCGAATCACGGGTATTCCAGAAGGGGGAAGAAAAAGAAAAAGGATTGAAAATTTATTCAAGGAATAAATAGAAAACTTCCCAGGTATCGGTAAGGATGCTGACCTTCAGATCCAGGAAGCCAAAAGATCTGCAAACAGAGTCAATCCAAAAAGGTCTTCTCCAAGACACGTAATAGTCAAACTGGTCAAACTCAAAGGTAAAGAGAGAACTCTAAAAGCAGAAAGAGAAGAGCACCAAGTCACCTATAAGGGAGCCCCCATCAGACTAAAAGAAGACTTCTCATCTGAAACCTTACAGGCCAGAAGAAAATGGGATGATATATTCAAAAGACTAAAAGAAAAAAATTGCCAGCCAAGAATCCTATATCCAGTACAGTCATCCTTGAGAAATGAGGGATAAATAGTTCATTTCCCTGACCACCAGAAGTTGTGGGAGTTCACTACGACTTGACCAACCCTGCAAGAAATACTCAAAGGAGAATTGGGATCCGGAGTCTGAAAAATGATAATCAGTATCATGGATTAACAAGAAAGAGCAAAATCTGCTAGTAAAAACAAAATGCAAATGAGAAAGAAAAAAGCTAAATCATATCACCTCAAAATCCAACTAACATTGAAGATGAAAAATAAGGGGAAGAAAGGGACAGATGATGTTTAAAACATCTAA